GGGCGCGGCGACGGGAGGCGGCACGGACTCAGACGCCTCGCGGCCCAGCGCGACCACGGACCTGGCGACACTGAACGGCATGCAAGAGTCGGGCGCAGTTGATCACTACTTCATCCAGGAGCAGCGCCGGGCCCAGCGCACCCAGCCCCAGGTCTTCAGGATCGACACGGACTCAGAGAGCGAGCCGCGGCCCCAAGCACAGCAACGCATCGTGGCCCGCCCGGCGCGGCGGCCCAGGGCCCAGGCCCAAACCCCTTTTGGCCTCAACAACATCCCGATCCCGGTGTCCTCCGGCAGCGACCGCTCCCGCGTCAGCCGGCAGTCCCGCGGCGACCGGGGACCTTTGGGAACGCAGCCGTCCTTCGACGCCCTTCGTCAGGCGAGCGAACCGGAAGCTGCATAGCTATGTAAAGAGAGATGGAGCAGGTTACGCAAGCCGTCAATGACGAGCTCGTGGCCAGTCTCGACTACAATGACTACAAGCTCCAGACGGGGAACACCAACTACATTCAGAGTCGCAAGAGCGTGCAGTACTTTCCGTCGTCCTTGAGCACTTTTTCGCAAAGCACGTCGCGGGTGTGTCGTATACCGATCACAAGCGAGACCGATTTCGTTGATCCTGAATCGATTAAGCTGGCCTTCACCTTCCGGAACACGGACGGCTCCAGCGACATGCTCTGCGGCTCGCCGGACCCCTCGTGTTTCATCGAGAGGATGCAACTCTTCGCCAACGGGCAACGGGTGGAAGACATCAGCTACTACGGGCGCAGTTGCTTCATGTATTCGCTACTGAAGCCGTCCGACTGGTGGACGGAGCTGCACTGGGAGGGCCTCCCGGTGGACGCCGGCGGCTGGGCGCAGCCGGTGCAGCCGGGGCAAAAGCGCGATGTGCTCATGCACCCGCATCTGATCGGAATGTTCAACTGCGGGAAACTCTTACCAAGTCAATTAAATCTCCTCCTGGAGATACAGTTCGCTGAACCCGAGCAGGCCATGCGCGCCGGCGTGGGCTCGAGTCTGTCGTATCAGATCGAAAATGTGCACCTTTTGGCCGATCAGGTGACCCTTGATAGTGCCCTCCGGGAGAGCTTCGAGCGTATATTACTGTCCAATCGCAGTCTCCTTTTCAGCTTTCCCAGCCTCCACGTGCAGCAGTCCTCGGTCCCGGCGGGCTCGACGAGCTACAATATCACCGTCGCGCGAGCCTTCACCAAGCTTTTGGGAGCCTTTGTGCACTTCAACAAGACCGGGGAGAACCACGTTTCGAACTTTGAATACCCCGGAGAGGCCTTCCCGAACGTCTCGGCGGCCACGGTCATGGAGGGCCAGCTGCAGCTCGGGGCCATGCAATTCCCCAGAAACAGTGTCAAAAGCATCGCCGAATACCACCACTTCCTCGCCATCATGGCCGGCACCTACGATTCAAAGCTACGAAATATGCGCCTCCCGAACTACGATAACACGCACTTCATTGCCGCGTTCCCCACGGAGCGTGTACCCAAGCACCCCACCAGCGGTTTGTCAACGAGGAGCGGCGACCTGTGCCGCTTCACATTCAAGCAAATGCTCGCGGACCGCGTGGATCAGTGCTTCGTAGGGCTCGTATCCATGCAAATTTGCACTCTTTCAGGGTCCGGCGTATCAGTCCTTGACTGATGATATTGGCGTTTTGAGCGATTTGTTTCACCTTTTTTGCCCTCTTCGAACACCGCTAGCCTGGACCGGCGGCGCAGAGCCCGGGGGCACTAGATAAATGTCACTCTTTCCCTCCACACTCACGGGCCGTATTTTGGACGATGGCGTCACGGAGCCGCCGGTGATAGAACTTCAGGGTATTAGCGCCGGGCAGCTGGCCACGGTGCTCACGGCCTACACGCCGCAAACGGAGCACACCGCAAACACCGCAGCCATCGGAGTCAACGCAGCGGCCATCGCGGCACTGCAGGGCCTGGTGGCCGCCCTGCCCGCCGCTCCGGACCTAACCCCTTATGCTCTGGCCGCGGACCTCGCCGCCGCAGAGGGCTCCATCGTGGCCAACGCTTCCGGTTTGAAGCCTCGTCCCACCTAATCGGGCCCATAAAACACAACCAGGCCTATAAAATATTGACGTCGTTGTGGGTCCAAGTTGACAGTATAAGCATGCTTCGAAATTGATGTGGCTGCCTTCTTCATGGAGCCAAATTCCTGTGATTGAGCCAGACTACTATGCACTTAGGGTTTCAGGCGCTTAGGTTCAACTTGATTGAATGAGCCAAAATCTCGTGATTGAGCCATACATCTGCGGGCTTAGGGTTTAAGGTCTTTAGGATTTTTTTCACCCGGAACGTGATTGAGCCAAACTCCCGTGATTGAGCCATACATCTGCGGACTTACAGCTTAAGGTCTTTTAGGGTCTTTAGGGGTGATAATAGGCTTGGAAATATTGTACTAAGAATAGATAGGATATGACCTGGCCACCGTGAGCTATAGCCGTAGCCGTACTCAGATTCATCTCCGCCGTCGTCTTCAGCCTCGGAGACACCACTTGAGCAAACTGTTTCCCCCAATATTCATGGGTGCACACCCTTCTTATTGGCGATGCCGATAATGATACGGGCTCCATGTGGCAAGAAACTAACAAGACGAGCGACAGACCGTAAGAGGATCGTGCACTCGTTGAAGACATAAGCCGACAGACCTCAAGCACCGGGCACTCCGGAAAGGTATTAGCAACTTGGCCACAGGTACAGCTCGACCGCAAGTGAACGACAGCAGCAGTTGTTGGCACTCATTGTGGCTATGATTGCACGCAAGCTTTTTTTCTCGCGAGTCACTGAGACACTGCCGCGATCAGCATCACGAGGCATCTGCAGCATCACTCGGCCGGGTCCTCGGCCAACGGTTCCTCCTCTTCGCCTTCACCTTCAACATCATTGCCAATCTTCTCCGGAATCTCGTCGACGGTGCCATCGTCGCCCGTTGCTGCAGCAGCCGCAGCATTGAGGAGCTCATCCTCAGGTTGTTGCTTGAACTCACAAGTTTAACCCATCAGAATACAAGTCCAGTACCCTTCATCCGAAACCCTGAACCCGCCAGCCGTTAACCCTAAACCGTAAAATCCGTAACCCTAAAGCCTTAACCCTGAGAGCCCTGACCCGAAACCTAAACACAACCAAAAAGCCTCAAAGAGAGCTTAGCTTTGCAACTCTGAATAGGGTCTGGGGGCTGCAAGGGTTTTCACGATGTCAACCGCCATGCCACTTTCAAGTTTAACCCGGCACATCTCCGCGATCTCTTCCTGCTTCTCTGGAGTGACCCCATCTCGCTTCTTGACCTGACATGCAGTGAGAAGCCACGCAGATCGACCAACAAAGACTGGTAGGAGCATGAAGTGATAAAAAACATGCTATCAGATGCAGTACTTCAGAAAGCAAGGCACAGTCATGACCTCACGCTTCGTCGTCTTGTCATCTCCTTTCTGGAGCTTGATTCCCCACTTCTGGTGCTTGATGTACTGATACTTGTTGGCCTTCCAAAACTCTTTCTTCGATGGATCTGCTGGCGGAACTGGCGGATCAGCACCGGCGGGTCTCTTGGCAACCATCCCCTTCAACTTTGCACTTGGCTCAGTGTCAGGCTTGCTCTCGGAGGCCGATTCCGGAGCGGTCTTCTTCGCATTTCCCTTCGCCTTGGCTTTTGCCGGAGCGGTATTCTTCGCATTTCCCTTCGCCTTAGCTTTTGCCTTCGCCTTCGCCTTTGTTTTAGCAAAAGCCTTGGCTTTTGCTTTCGCCTTCGGCTTTTTCGTCGTCATCGTACTGCTTCCTGCTGGCTTCTTTGCCGGCTTGTCCACTTCGGCCAACTTTGGGCTAGCATCGGAGAGGTCGTCCACATCTTGGAGCTGGGCCGCTTGGAGGACAGCTGAAAGCATGCTGGTCCGCACAAGCACTCACGCAGGAACGAGCCTGCCTCGCTGACTCGTGAAAAAAACGCCTTTGAACCGTGATGCCGATTATAAGGGAGTGAATGCAAGCTGTGTTTCAAGGCAGCACAGCCACCATGATTACTAAGCATGACAACTGGAAGTCACAGTCTTTCGGATGTGAAGAGACATTGCTGATGCCCCCAAAGAGCTGCTTTCGAGGTGGAGAAAGTGGCACCTGACCCTGAAATCGGAGGTCATGCTCTGACGATCAAAGATTTAAAAGTCGGGACGAGGCTGCGACATGCAGCGGATTCTGATGTGCCCAAGAAATGAAGCCGCTGTGGACCGGACCACTAGGTCAGCCTTGCTGCATGCAAGCCCGGGACTTGCACTCGCCTCTTCAGGTAGTACTTCGGCTTCAAAGGAACGACGGGTGATGAAGAGCTGTACTCAACCTGGCACAATGATGTGAGAGCTGCATGCCTCTACGCCAACATTGGCCCGGTGGGGAGTCGGGAGGCACCGAAGCAGCCTCCTGGAACCCGAAACCAAAGTGACGAAATCCGAAATACTGCTGTACCAGGCCTCCCACATGGTGCTGCATATGGAGCTCTGCGGAAAGAAATGTAATTCTCCAAGCAATGCCCCGGCGAACTGTGTGGACCTGATGTTCATCATGTCCACCTCAGAGACACCTTTCGGCACGAAGCAGTTGACCTTGTCGGCCGGAGTTACCTTGTACCGGAAGCTTCGGGGCTGGTTGTCCTGCAACAATTCATGGGCGATGGAATAATTAAAACCATCCTGAACATCATATGAATCATGTAAGGAATTTCTAGTCTCCTTCGGAAACACAGCCAAGTACAACAGCCAACTACCACATCGAATCAGTCTCAGAGCAACATCCAAAAGTTGAAAAACAAATTACAAATAGTTTCTAAGTCGTCCCATCTAAGTTCCCAAGAACTCAACACGCAAGATTGCCAAATGACCAACCATACAGAAGCTTGGACACCTGCACCACTGCACGTATAAACTAACATGGAATTCCAGGCATCATACAACTTCTACTGCCACAGACGTGAACTGCCTTGCAAAATCAGTCCTGATTCAAGAGAGCTGCCACGTCGTGATCGACAACACTCATCTCCGTAAGTCCGTGGCGGCTGCAAAGATCATGTGCTATCTCTGCTAGGCATCGGAGCTGTTTCCTGGGAGGGGTCGCCGATTTATCTACGCATACCAGCAGCTTCGTATCGGTCTCGAGCAGCCACGGGATGGCCTCCTTCGTCGCAGCCTGAACCAGGCCTGCCAGGTAAGTACAATCACAACGAAATAACAGCATTAGTGGCAATTTGGATTGTTCAACTATACAGGAGACGAAATTGTCCCCAAATGAGTTTGTTTTGGACAGCTATACATCGATTTCAACTACACGAAGACATCTTTGGCTGACTTGATGCAACTATTGAAAACCCTCGCCTTTGGGCTTCTGCTGCCATTGGCCGATGTTGTAGCCAAAAAGCTCGCCCGAAACGTCCTTGTTGGATTCGGACTTGTTGATCAAGTAGAGCCGCTTGTCTTGGGTCCAGGCCACATGCACGTCAGGCGATGCCAAAGTGGCACACTGAGCGATGATCCTGGGCTGGCTTCGGGAAAATCAATCCGGAAGTCTCCCAAAATAATACTGAATGCGATCAGGGAGGAACTTGCAAAACAAGTAAGCCGCAACGCAAATAGTCACAACACACTTATTTAGTGTTTCGGTGGTGGTGCTGCTGCTGGTGCTGCTACTGGTGGTGGTGGTGGTGGTGGTGGTGGTGGTGGTGGTGGTGGTGGTGGCGGTGGTGGTGGTGGTGGCGGCGGTGGTGGTGGTGGTGGTGGTGGTGGTGGTGGTGGTGGTCGCACCCCGGTTGCCACCCCCATCCCAGGACGGGGGCGGGGAACCGCTTTACGATTTCCCTTTTCGGGTGCGACCTGTGGCGGTGGTGGTGGCGGTGGTGGTGGTGGTGGTGGTGGTCGTGGTGGTGGTGGTGGTGGTGGTGGTGGTGGTGGTGGTGGGTGGTGGTGGTGGTGGTGCTGCTGCTGCTGCTGCTGCTCGTGCTTCTGGTTCTGGTTGTTGTTGCTGCTGCTCTAGTTGTTGTGACTGCTGCTGCTGCTGCTGGTGTTGCAGTTGTTGCTGCTGTTGTTGTCACTGGACCCTGACACGGAACATTGGACGAACCTCACATCTTGCTGCCAATTCACGTTTGCGAAGCCTCAAGCTCCGCCACCGACAGGAAATCTGGCTCCCACGACCCATCTCTCTTCAAATCCTCTGCAAGCTCCTGGTCTGTGAAATCCGGCCGAGCTGTGGTCCTTGTCGGGGTGGTATTCTCCGAGCCCTGTGTTGAAGACCTGCTCACTGAAACATTGCCCGGAGCCGGAGAAGACTTCAGGTACTCCATGAGTTTGGCCTCTTTCGTCATGAACTCCTCGATTTGGCCCTGCAGCTCTGAAGTCAAAGAGCCGACGCTGGCTTGAATCGTCGGGGGGATCCTTTGCTCAATCGCTCACACTCACGGAAAACATGCCATGACGACGATTCTTCTTTCCGAAAGGTTCTTGCATCGCAAGCTACACCATCTTGCCATCTTCCAGAACCAGCACTGCGAGCCTCGGGAAGGCAGCCTCCACACTGGAAGCAGGCCTTTGCTTTGGGCCCGCCATATCCGAGTCGTCCCACCATTCCTGAAACATTGGATTTGGAATGTGACAGACCACTAAATTCCAGCTGCAATCTATCCACGCAGGCCAAGTCGCTGTACGGATGGCGGCAGCAAGAGCAGTCTTCCGGCTGGCGATATCACTCTCCGAGACATCATCTTCACAGCTCAGGCCCCAATACATCCATGTCACGTTCTGGGTGTTCGGGTGGTCGAGTGCCTTCTTCTGCAAGCTCCAAGTTGCTTTGCCCAGCTCGTTGTAGCTGTAGCTATGGAAGTTGTAGATCAAGTCGAGCACAGTCACATGGCCGGTGTTCGGTACATCCATTCCCAAGAGGAGCTGCTCCAAAAGTTTCCGTGCGCAGTCGACACCTCGTTGGCTTGCCTTATGCTGCAGCAATGCAGCGACAAGTGGAACACCAGACTTATGGATGTCTCTCTAAATTGCAGTTTGAGGCTCTCTGCACCGTGGCGATGCCGCACCCTCATTATCGCTCAAGAGCTCGCTCACCCTTGCACGTGGAAGGGCACCCAGAATGCCGCTTTGCACCGCCTGCGACTTGGCCCAAAGCCACTTTGATCCGCTGTGAATGGAGTTGCAAGCCATCAAACCTCAATCATGCAAACTGGACGAAGTGAAGCATCTGAAAGGGTGGCCGAACGACAAGCTGCACGGGTGAACTCGCTTCCGCTTGTCTGCTCCATGTCCTGGATCGGTGAACATGATGCTCACCTCGTGGAGATCCATGGCCCTTAGATTCTCAGCTGTCATTCACAGCTGCTGCGAAATCCCGTGGCCAAGCCACAATGACAAACAACTTAAACTTGAGAAGCCAAATGTCGCATAGAGCTTGTCCTCCAAGAGTCTCCTGTACTTCGTCACACTCTTGCCGTCAACCTGCCCATATTGGATGGGCAGCAAGATGAACAAGGCTGCACTGGGATTTGTTGCACTGTATGTCTTCGCAAACTCGAGAGCATCGTCGATCAACAGGCCGCCTTGGTCCACATCAATCCTAGTCCCAGATTATATGCACACTACACTTGAACCCCTCCTTATCCTTGTGCTTCGAGAGTCGATTCGGCCACACCGACAGGTCCATGAAAAGGATCGTCACCGGACACCTAAACTCAGAGTCATAAACCCTAAAAGGCCCTAAAACCCTAAACCCTCAATTTCTTGCACTCTTTCAAACAAAACACGTGGCCAAGCTACGGTGCGGCTGGGCCATGATCCCGGCGATGTTCAAGAATTTTCGACAGTGCATCTGAATACTGCCCGGCTTCCGAGTGTGCATAGTTGTGGTTTTCCGTCAGCCAGGAGTCAATGAATGCCTTCCCCTTCTCGTGCCGAGCCGTCAAGAACTGCAAGTCGAGTGACCCCTGCAGGCGACACTTGAGATTCAGTGAAATCACGGCAAATTAAAAATGACTCCTAACGAGTCTGTCCTGCTTGTCTGCATGGTCCTTGACCTCCCGGGCATACCGAAGGACATCGCTCAAGTCAGACTCCAGCTTGGCTTTCAGCTGGTTGCAGGTTGCACGTGTGACCATATCATTCAACCTCAGAGCAGTAAGAAAGACTGACACAGACACCACGACGTGACGATGGACGAGGCCTCCCAAGCAATGCTGGCTTTATCTAAGAGGGAAGCTTCACATCGGCCTGCTCTCTTTCATCTTGCACCTGTCAGAATGACATGAGAACGAGAAGCACCATTATCTGCTACCGCTTTAGAAAGGATCCTGTTCTCTGGCTTGTCATTGCGACCGGCGACACGCAACACCTGCTGCAAAAACCAACTCTCATTCTCCCGACAAGCCTTCTTGTCGAATTTGCCGAGTGCGGCTCGGAAAGCGCCGACCTTGCTGATGTCTGCTGGAGGAACAGTTTCCTTCAGCAGATTCAAAATGTCGCTGTCGCAGTGCTTTGCGAGGAACCTGACAGCTGACTGCATCTAGTATTTCCTATATGATCGCAAGCGAAAACCACGAAATACGCAGAGCAATCTGCAGCCGAAATCTGTGTACATCCTTATCACTTAGAAGCTGCCCCCACCCTGTAATAGTGGTTTAATAGGAATATAATAGGGCCCTGATATGATATTAGTATAATCCTTATAGTCACTATTACAGGGTGGGGGCAGCTTCTAACTTATCACCAAGAAACGACTTCACCAAAACCTTCTCCTCTGCCGTGGCAAAGTCCGCTGGAACTCGTTTTCCGAACTCCGTCAAACAAATGCGAAATCCGGCACAAACCTTGTGCAGGCTCTCCTGGGCTTCATGGGTCCAGGGTTGGCAATTGCACATGGCAATAACACGTGGGGAAAACGGGGGAGCTACCTCCAATCATGATTATGGTAGACTTGCACAAGACCACTTGGATGTTGCGACGGGGAACGATGTCTCGACCCACCCATGCCTTTCTCTGCCTGGGGTGAAGGTCCAAGTAGTCTTTGGCCAGCCGCTGCATCAAAAAATCCAGGACGCCAGGAATCTTGTTGCTCAGCTCAGCCGCCCACGCATCAGCTCCGGCCGGACTGTAGTCACGACGGAAGCAACCACAAACGATCGCCTCGTGAGTTATGAACTTTGCCATCGAGTGCTTCCTGTGCCAGGTCAATGTGACATGATCCCTGCAACATTGGGTTTTAGGGTTCAGGGTTTAGGGTTTTAGGGTTTAGGGTTTTTGGGTTTAGGGTTTAGGGTTTTAGGGTTTAGGGGTTTAGGGTTTAGGGTTTGGGGTATAGGGTTTAGGGTTTTTGGGTTTAGGGTTTCGCAGGCCTCACTAGGGTCTCCAGCCGGTCCGTTATCACCCCGTCTACTTCATGAAGCAACATCTGGGCTGCTGCTGCTTCCGCTTTGCCGAGGTTGTAAGCTGTTGCGAGCTCACCCGCACTCTGCCAAACCTCATGCTTCACGTGCACACAGCAAACGATGAAAATGACTGTGCCCTCACGCCCGCGAAACCTGCCACCTCCAGGCCACCACTCTGGCTCCGATCCATTTTCGCGAGCAGTCGAAGCTGAGCAAGCAAATTGAAAGCATTCGGTCGCCTTCGGATGGCACTGCTCATCGTGATTCCTGCTGACAAGAAGCATCAATCAGGCAGCCCGCAGATCACCAGACACAAACCGCATGAGGTTCAAATAGTAGCTTCGGGCAAAAAGTATGCTCAGCTAAACAATTTCCACAAAGTAGTCCTCGGTTTTGCAGAACGATGAGCGAAACATCGTCTTGCCCGGGAATGACACAACAGTTGCCATGCACGGTGCAAAAGGACCTCAGACTGAGGACTACCTCTTCGAACCGTCTTTGCTGACAAAGAATATCATCTTACTCGTTGCCTCACTGCTGCTCAGGTGCTCCTGGACTTTCGCAGGCCACACCTGCAGGGTTGAATTACTGCTCAGGGTACTAGCTTCAAAATCCTTCGGAACAACAGAAGCTTTCTTCTCCCAGCACTCCTGCATGAACTCAGGGTTCTCATAAGCACACCTCAAGCAGCAGTACATAGCCATAGACCGAGTGAAGCCCTTGACGGTCACGACCGACAAGGGAGCCATAAGAGAATCCATGCCCTTCCCGATGTCGCCGGGCACAAGGTCCAGGCAAGGACGCATGCCTATGTCTCGCCGTTGCTGGGTAACTGACAACCTCTCATTTCCAGGAATATCAGGATTAGTCATCAGCCTGAGCT